GAGGCGGTGTAATTAGCCTTTAGTTAAAGATGGTAATTACGAACAGGCGTTGGGAACGTCGGTAAACTTCTACCAGACTACACGGCGTTACAGCCTAGAAGACAGCTGTCTTCGTAATAACTTAGGACCATTATTGTAAAAGTAAATTACATAAAAGCCAGTAACTATGTTCCTAAGTTGCAACACGTGTAAATGCATTGATACGAAGTACACATGTTAAGAAATTTCCACTGATACAGATGTTGAAAAGGTTTTTTTTTTCGTGATTTCCCAACAAGTTTAATTTTATACTTGCGTGTCTTTTCTACTCATAAACCCTCAATTTTCAGCGGGATGATTAACCCAGTAAGAAATCGAGACACAATTCGATATGTTTTCCACTTGGTTGCAACATAGTATTTTAGATGTTTCTCTATAAATGTGCTCTTCCTGTTTTTAAAGAAGCCAACTCTTTTATAATATTCGACAATAAAACGGTTTATTCAACAGAGTAGGCTGCTTCATCTGTATTAACATCAAATTGCCAGCCTGTTTAGTAGATATTAGTTTAACTTCGTACTTTGCAACATCTTTCATTATGTGCGTGTTACTTTTAGATATTTTTACCAGTGTTAACACAGAGCAATGTTATGGTTTCATTTACAACATAAATAAAGTTCCACAGGATGGGTTCTATCGTGTTCATATTTCGGTCGTATTTATTTCATAAAATTAATCTCTTGGGCAAACGTTTTTCAGTTAGGTATGTGTTTTAGACAAATATCAAATTAAAATTAATTCATATTACGTAATTTTTGTTAAATATTGCATCCTGGTGTAATATAAATAAAATATATAGGACGTATATAACCTCTGAATACCTTTACATTGTATTTATTTATTTTAACAGTTGTGATAAATTTAATCTAATTTTAAAGTTTCATGCATTTAAATATAACATTGATTTGTATAAATTAATACGTTGCTTTCAACTGTTTAAAGAATACGTGGGATATAATAAACAGCTTCGTTATCTCAGTGGGTTGTAGTTTAAGAGGAAACCTGGTGACATTGCATTCGTGTGGTTGATAGTTCTGCTTTGTATTCGGGAGGTCCCTGATTCAAATCTCGGCCTGGACACCGGGCGATTCTGAGTGTTTGTGGTTTTGTTCAGTCCCTCTTGGTAAATTTTGGTTAATATCTTCGGACGCTGCCGCCTCGAACGCCCTTTCAAATTCATTATTGTGATCCTTATAACTCGACGCTGTACGCGGTGCCGTCTAATTTTCGGTTATGCAGTCCCGCACAATAACCTTTAACGCTCTTGCTAGAAAACATCATACTTTATTTCGTATAAGTTTTTTTCTTCTCTCCCTTCACCATATCATGTCTCATACCTTCAATTCTCAACGTGACTGTACTATATTACATGTTTTTACAAATACCATCTCCAGTCAAACCAGCAATTGGCTCATAGTCGGTTAATGCTCAACATACATACTTCCGTACCAAGAGCATGAAAGGCCAGCACAGATGACTTTTATTGGTTGTGTGGGATTTATAACTTGAACATTGACCATTCATAACCATCTTGTATAATTTGAGTTATTGACAGCGTCGTTAAATAAACCAGTAAATTAGCTAGTAAATCATTTTACGTGTTAAGTGGGTGACTGGTTTCAGACATGGAGCGTGGCTGCAAATATATTGAATAATCAGAGGTTTATAGCCTAATGGGTGGTTCTCCACCGTGGGGGTTGGACGAAGGGCTAATAGTTTCTCGACATAAAAGTACCAGCATGTTACGAAATGTTACACAGGGTTTCAGTGACCAGTGAACACGTTAATGGTTCCATAAGAGGTTGGGAATTTTTTTACTGGCTGAAAACTATTATTAACAGTGACAGTTGGTAGCAGTGGATTGTGGTTTTAATTACGTACTGCGTAGGCCCAATTCAACGACTTTCAGACTCTTTTTATTCCCAATTAATATGTGTATGTGAAGTTTTCCTTCGTTCATTGACCTTTTCAGTAAATGAAGTAGGTGTATGATAGCGGGATTTCTGAGGGGAAATTTGGCCTACATTGCAGCCTCCAGCGGAGAGGTTGTGCGTATGTCAGGATCAATATAGCAGGTGCATCTAACCGGGCGACGTGACCCCGAAACGCGAGGTCATATCGGCCCATCTCTTCAGATGAACACAATATTATGTGATATATTTTTATTACAATGTGTGAAACTATATGCGGATTGGTCTCGCTTGTATGAAAATTCATGAATCTGAATTATATCGTAATATGGGGTGGCTGAACGCGTAGCATATAAAAATGAAACTAGGTTTTAATACAAATTTTACCCATATATACAGTGTGTTTTAGTACACACATACTTCTGAGAATCGGATTGTGGCATGAAGTTATGAACATCGTTTGAAGGAAGGTAATTTGTAATTTGGACTATATCAGAAATATAAATGTTCATTTCTATATTGTTCTGGTGTTGCTGTTCTAGGCCGTAACGCTCTGTGGACTTTCATAACATATGTTAGGACTTTGTGAAGTTGTGTGTTTGCGGAATACATTCTTTTCTAACAGACCGTGTTTTTAGATCATTTTCAATGTCAGGATGTGATGGTCTGAAGCAGACTGCTGTTTTTGCTAACAAGTTTTATGTCACTGGACGTTACGCAATTTCAGTAGCGTTGGAAACCGGCTTCTGTATTTTTTGCTTGTTTTCTCATACAGCCAGATGCTGGTATAGTACCTCAAAGCCACGCATCCACTATCGTGGCAAACGATCCATCATGATTATTCTTCCTTCAGTATCCTTGTTCACGTTACGTAAACTTCGCTTTCGAGTTGCTGGTTAGCTTTCCTCCAGGAGGTCCCTGCTTCAAGTCTCAACCCGGAGATAGGATATTCCGACTGATTTGTCATGGTTTTCCACAGTCCATCCAGGCAATTTCCGGGATGGTACCTCAAATCAGGCAGTAATCATTTACCGAAATGCCGTTTCCAATTATTCACTGATTACCCTATATTATCTGATTTATTGATAACGTCGTTTCTTTCATTAAGTACGTTTTAATTGCATAGCTTGAACAGTGTTTGTAGGAAGACAGTAGTAAATAATAAACTGGAAGAATGTTTAATGAAACAGTCGTGAAACTATTTAAAGCATCTTCAAACAGGCCACGTCATTCCAAAATGTTTAACACTTACAATCATTATCCCAGCCCATTTCAACGGAATACCATCTTTGCAGTTCAAGCAGATTCTTGAAGTAACCCAGTAATCGATCATCAGTCAGAAAATATCGTATCGACTTTTATTGCTGAGGTTGCTGATTGAACATGGAAGAACATGTTCAGTTGTTTTGGTGTAGAGGTCACGGAACCATAAATATTGATGTAATTACTCGACAGATTATGCGTGAGCATCCAGGAAATAGACCGCCTTGAAGGTTATTGTGCAACTAACCCTGATGGCGTGTGCATAAACATCGAGCTAATTTCCTTACAAATCGCAACGAAATTGCGTGCTTGGAAGACATCTTCCTTTTCCTCTTCTTGATCACTTAAACGACGAATAACCTAAAAATAAGCAAATTGTTTTAAGTTAGGATTAGTTTCATAGTTTTATTTTTCTATTTACAGTGACATACTCTACATTAGTTTTAAGTGGGGGTCTTACATCTAACCCTTTCTGTAGACTGTCACCTATATTTAATATCTGTCATGACAGCGCCCTGTCTAGTTGAACATTTACGAATTATTTGTAACTTACATTGCTCCTTGATCTTGTTTATTTATTTCAAATGCAAATGCTGATTACAGATAACAAAATGTGCACGTGTTGTTCTGCAGACACACACAACATGGTTGTCTATCATTATCTGAATGTTATGCTGCAGACAAAAGTGATGGAAAACAATTTTGTTAATTTTAACAGAAATATGTCTTGGGGAAATAATGTGTAATTTTTATATATTTCTGAGATTTGAGGTCTTAATGATGGCACTCTGTAGACATGTTGGTAGAGCCAGCATTTAGGAGAAACTTACTTCAGAACTTCGGCAACTCAGCAACCACTGACAAGTCCACATGGGTCCAGAACCCAGAAGAACATACAGTTTACCATCTGCAAAATTGTGGACCCATATCTAATTATGACACCTTTTTGTTTTGTTGCAAAACCTCCACGTGATTTTTTTATTAACCATATTACATGCTTGTGATAACATGAAATATCAACTACTCTCTCTGTTCATGATGAGTCTTTCACAGGTTATAATTTTTATATTGTTTATTGTGTATGTGAATGGTTATGTTGAAATTAAATTCAGAATGATTTACTCGGTATCTTTATGACTTTTCCCTTTTTTTTAAATTATCCTCTTCATATATCAGTCTCCTTTCTGTCATTATTTTCCCATCCATTTAAACCTTCAGTGCTACAGTATGGTTACAAGTGGTAAAAATTATGCATTTAGAAATGGCATGCAAAACAAAAGATAGTTTTATGTAATTAAGCTCGATGTTTTAGGCTGTGGTCGCGTATAGGTGCGCATAGGTGGTTCAGCATTAATACTTTCACACTAACAACTAATTATGCACTGGGGTTTGGATCGTCTGTAACTTTACACTGAGTCACACAGTTTAGCTATTGATATGTTATTTTGTACTAGTTACAGAATGCCTGGCTTGTTGATGCATCTCCAAATGCTGTTTGTATCAATGTGAATTTTAGTTTCTTTGTGATGTTCTCATGACATTTAATACACAGGTATTGTTCTGTAAATTGACACATGACAAATTCGTTATGATGTAAGTACTAACCGCGAACAATCAAAGCAGTGGAACGAGCTGTGAACGTACAATAACATCTCAGAACATTTTTATTATGTTCCTGTGCAGTGCGATTCACCCGAGATGTAAGTTTACCTTTTATTCGGATCTCAAACAGTGGAGGATAACTTTTAAGGATACACAAAATTAAAATTGGCTTCTTTTTTGTTCTAGTTGGACAGATTCAAAGAACCTCCTGCCTTTGGCCCAATGTGTGATCTTCTGTGGTCAGATCCCCTAGAAGACTTCGGAAATGAAAAGAATGCCGAACACTTCAGCCATAACAGTGTGAGAGGTTGCTCATATTTCTACAGGTAAGATTATGCTATGCTGACTGTTCTTTGAGGGAACGTGGTCAACCAACCAAAATATAGCTTTCGCATGTCTGTTTCGTCATCAGATGACTCAGAAAAGTAATTAATATTAATTAATGTTTTTATTCAAATTAGGCAGACATATTAGTGTCTTTGTTTAACAGACAACTGGCATTGTAGTTAACGGAAGATATAGAGAAGCCAAATATGCACAAATGTCGCCCTCGGCATACTAGTGGTTAGCGTGCTCGCCACTGGACCCAAGGTTTGTGGGTTCAATCCCGGCCGAGGTCGATGGATTTTTAAGGGTGATAAAAATCCGTAGCACAACTTCCTTCCGAGGGGAAGTAAAGCCAGCGGTCCCATGTCGTAGGTTTATGGCACATAAAATAACCTTACAAGCATGATATGAGATGAAGATTTCTGTCTTCTGGGTTGTTGCGCTGTGTGGTGTGGTAGATGTTTACCAACTGCCTCCATCATCAGGGCGATGAATATGCCAGCTATACACTTACATCACTTACAGTTTGGCACTTAAAAAATTTCAAGCACTCGATCTCTGTTGTACAGAGTATACCGCTGTTGATGTAAGCTTGAAATAGGAGAGGAATATTGTTATGGTCTTTCTTGTTGGGGGGGGGGATGTCAGAGTGTTTTAATTCATATGTGTGTGTCATTTGTTCCAGTTATGCTGCATGCTGTGATTTCCTTCAAAATAACAACCTACTTTCCATAATTAGAGCGCATGAAGCCCAAGATGCAGGGTAAGTTATTCTTGTAAATTTTGTCAACTGATATTTGTGAATACAATTTAGGCCACTTAAATCAAATAGTGTGTGATTTCTCATGCCGTGTAGAGATTTGTAAGATTTGAGAGCAGTGTACGGTTTTCTGCTTTTTAGTTTGCCGTCATCCACTGATATTGTGATGTCCTTTTCACATCAGTGCTAAGAAAAATTTGAATCAAACAGTCCTTGGTTTTTAGCGGGTTAATTAATACGTATGTCCGTATTGTTAATCGGAAATAAAGCTTAACTATCTGTTACTAGCAGGGAATGTTTTGTTTGTAACGCAGAGTGATAATTACATTAATAATATAAGAAAACTGAGAAACATTGCATATTTATATACAGTGATATGTTGTCAAATGATTTAAGATTTTCATGGTGATGGAAGCACAAAGATTGGTGGTCTTCAGGGTTTTTGTGCCATGTAGCATTTTGGCCATGTACCAGCATCTCAAAAGAACATAGTTGGTGCAGTGCCAAAATGGTGCGTGGCGCAACAACCGAGAAGCTTGCGTCTGTCTTTCTTGTCATTACCTACTTTATATTTTGTTGTCTCTTACATACAGAACATTTCATCAGTTCTTATCGTGCTGTTGAACATATTGAATCACTGTTTCAATTTCAAGGCCAACTATAATGTTCTCTTATGATCCCATAATCTATAGCCATTCATTTGTCATGTTAATTTTATTTCGGAAACTGTTATGGTTAATACAGTATTGTTAAATGTTTAGACGGCCATTAAACAATAAATTTATTAAATGTAGTGTAAATAAATTGGATGGGGCATAAAAGTGAGTTTTTCATTACATCTTTATTCATTTGATTACCAGTTCATCTTATATAAAAATAACTTAATAAGAAACTGACATTGTCTTGTTGTAGATGATTTGGTTTTTATTGTACTGCGATGGAGTTATTTACTGCGCGAGTTAAATTATCAAAGCTTACCCTCTTGTTTGAGAGCGCTCTGCAGAATTAAGTTAATTACTGATGTTCACAGTGTGAGATGCTAACATTTACAATGCTGTCCACGTGTGTATTTTTTTTTGTACTTAAATAGGAACACGAGTACCAAATTGGAAGCGCAGTTAGGTTTTCGATCAGTGTAGTAATGAAATTTTAGTTTCCCACTTCTCATAACGGTATCTCTGTTACCTGACTGGAAATAGGTTGTTTCTTTCATTGCAGTTATCGAATGTACAGGAAAAGTCAAACGACAGGTTTTCCATCACTCATCACTATCTTCTCAGCACCTAACTATCTGGATGTGTACAATAACAAGGTATATATCTTCCTCATTTTGCATTGTTAAAATTGAGATATGTAAATTGTCCTGGAAACTGTATTTCAAAGTAACTAACTTATACAATTAAGTGTGCAAAGCTGACAGTCTTCTGCATTGTAGCAACATGTAGTCTGGTAGAAGTTTACCAACGTTTCAGACGTCCTTCCTACCTCCATCACCAGGGCGATGAGTCTCATCACCCTGATAAAGAAAGCAGCAAAGACCATCATGAAAACCTCAAATCCTACTAAATTGAGCGTGGTTTCATATCAGTATGTTTCTGATGTCTATTCTGTACTTGGGCGATTGTCATATGATGTGAAACGTGGGTGAGATTGTTAATTTATTTATGTTGTTTTGTTATTTTGTGGTTGCCAGGCAGCAGTGCTGAAGTACGAGAATAATGTGATGAACATTCGACAATTCAACTGTTCACCACACCCATATTGGTTGCCCAACTTCATGGATGTGTTCACATGGTCGTTGCCGTTTGTTGGTGAAAAAGGTAAGGTTTGGTGTGCATTACCATCAGTAATAATGACTGAAGATGTGTTTTCGCTTATTCATACTAACCTTTCTGTGTGTGTGTGGGGGGGGGGGGTGTTAAATTCCAGACCCTAATCTGCCACAAGAAGACTTTCCATTGTCTCGCCATTTATAAAATAGACAGATTTCCGCAATTTTTATTCAACATAAATTAGTATATGTGGTTAACGCATGCCAAATGATAGCCTAGACTTTCATTTCACAGACTGTGCAAGTAGAATTTGTATAGTTCAGGAACGGTTTGCGAGATGGAAGCACAGAGCAGGAGTTGTGTGATTTGTTATTCTGTTGCAGTGACAGAGATGCTGGTAAATGTGTTAAACATCTGTTCAGATGACGAACTCATGTCTGATGGAGACGATGCTCTGGAGGAAGGTATGTTTCATTATATGTATCTCTGTATATCCAGCCATTTTGTTTTAAAGATACTATTTGCTTTGCTTGTTACTACAGGAGAATAAAAATGTTTTCATAGATTTTATATTTCATTCAAGTAACAGTGTGCAAGTTATCTCAGAGAGATGATGTTCACTGTTCCACATTTTCTTAAGTGTTGGATCATCTTCTTTTAAGTTGCTGAATAGGGACAGAAAATAAAAGTGCACATGTTATTTAAGTAATATTAAAATATAGCCATTGAAATTTCATTGGTTGATCAACAAATTCTGGAGACTGCATACTGTCGTAACTGTCCAAATTTTTACTGACAATGAAACCCCGAGTTTCAGTTAGGTAGTTTCTCCATAAATAGCTTAGTTTTACAGATCAGTCTTTTGTAGTGTTAAAAATAGATGATTGTGTCTTACCCTTTCATAAGTATGTCACAAAAGCATCTCGGAACGGTGTTTCTCACTGGTTATAGTAAAAATGTGTGTTGGTTTAAATTCAAATTTTCGGTGCCTCCTATGCATCATGTGACAGATTACAACAATTCTAGTGACACATTATGATGGATTTTGGGGGGGGGATGTGTTGAAAAAGATTTCAAGCCAGTATTTTAATATGTAGCTAAAGGACTGATTGTTAAAAGGTTCTGACAGTGTGTTGCAATCTGGTCTGCTGAGTTTTTAGACTTTGTCCATTGCCAGGTATTCTAAAACAAAATGTTCTGAAGAGTGATCTGTCTTCCTTACACCTGAGGATGAAGATAGATCCGCTATTTGAGAAGTTGTGTTTTAGAATATCAGATGATGTACAAAGCCCAAAATCTAAGTAGTCCAGAAAGCCAAAATGTGTTTGAATATGCTGCCCTAATTCCTCTGGTATGGGTCAAAAGAGAGATTCAGAATTTTTTATTTTTGCCAACAGCCACATGTATAGAGACACCAATTTCAGGCACTGAGATCTGTTTCATGCTGTGAAAGAGTTTATTGTTGAATAATTCAGTCCATGTTGTGACATCTTGTTTTAATGGAAATATATTTCACTATATTACTAGCGTAATGAAATGATTTTAATAAGTTTAGTATGTGTTAAAATCAGATTATTCTATGGTTACACCTCTCAGTTGAGTTGCAGAGGGAGATTTATAGTTGTTTAAAAGAAATTGCACGTTACAATAATACGAATATGTGTAGAAGTGGTTTATTATGAATATTGTACTAATGAATTTGAATTCATTGCCATTTCTTTCATTTTGGATTACACAGATGGTAAGAATCAATCTTTTATATGTTTCATACCGTCACATAGGTGTGTGTTTAGTAGCTGGTCTGCACAGGTTACAAATTACTTATCATTATTATTATTATTATTATATTTATTAGTATTATTATTGGACCCCTTTTTATTTGTAAATATTTTCTTGTATGTTTTGTTGGGTTTTAAGAGCACAAACCAATGTTTTCAAATATTGGTTGAACAAGTTTACTTCATCTGACACGTTATTATCCAACATAATTTCATTCACGTTTCCAACAGCCATTTTCATTGAAGATTAATTGGATGTACTGCTGTGTGTTTTGATCCAAATAAAACTGTATGTCTGAAAAGCTGATGCTGAATTAGTGATCAGCAAGTTGGAGCATGTAAAGTTCCTGTTGAAAATTGTTCCGTTGTTAAGTTTTAAATAATGTCAGTGACTGGGCATGTGCTTGGCATGCACTAATGCTCCAAGGTTTCATGCGTATTAGTAAGAGGAGAAATGAAATGACTAAGAATAGGGAAATTAGTTACACATGTTACATGTACTTATCTCAGTTTCCATGCTTAAGTTAAATCTTGTGTAATTTGTTTATTAGTCTTTTAAAAAATGTAACAGATTTTATCCTGGAAGTTAATGAGTTTTATATATGGGGAGAGCTTCAGAAAAGTTCAAATATATTTATCCTGCAGTTATAAATAAAATGGTTCCAAATTGCTGCAGAAGTCACTACATTCCAATGAATGGTTACATGTCCCAGAATTAATACTCGTAAACTATCCGAAATTTTGACGCTCAAACGAAGTATGATGTGACATTTTTGTGCTTTAGACTAATATGTAGCTTTTGTGCAAAGATTTTGTCTGTATATATCTGGATACTCCAAAGAATATGAATTTCATCTTCGTTTCAATAATTGTTTTTTTACCGATGACTACAAATGAGGATTTGCAGTCATGAAAAATATTAAGAGACAGGATATTTAAGGAGCATTCATAGCTGAGATTTAAAAATGTCTGTTAGCTTTGCTTTGTCTGTCTGTCTCTCTCATTGTCTCTGTACTAATTACATCATAAAATTTATACTTGACTAAGCACAGGGTCAACATTACATGAGGATATACCGTATGTGACGTATTATTCAATTCAATTCATTTATTTAAGTGTTTGCCAATAACAGGCAAACACAGATAATACATACAATAATAATGAAATAAAAATTAAAAATATTACACAAACAGATTAACTACTTATACATGTATAGTATTAAATATAACAGCCAAATACAGGAAAGCCCAAAATAGAAACAATATTATACACAAAGAAAAATAAATGAATTACTATAAATAAAAACACATATCCACCTAAGGAACACTCATATAAATGTAAAACATTAAAGAAATACAGAAAACAGATAACCAAGGTAGATCATCTATCAAGACAACCTATCTAGATCATTTCCCTTTTTGAGAACGTGCCCTCAAGGGAGACAATTTTTATGCTAAATACGTCCAAAGATTTACATACGTCATTTGCAGCGATGACGCACCTGGCTGAAGGACTGTCTTAGCACACTGATCACACTAAAAATTGAAAATTCTCTTATTTGCCTCGCCAGCACACGTAAACCAGCAGTGTCCATAATAAAATGGCAATTTATTTTGCCAACACATCGAGATGTTGTCATCTGGAATAAAGTGTTCTAAAATTTAAAGTAGATAAAATCAATTCATATTTGTGTGGGATATTTAACTAAAAAAATCGGTAAACTGGCAAATTTTCTTTGAATATTTTCTAATTTATTAGAATCTGTCTGTGTAAGATTATTCCATACATTATCATGGTTTAACATTATGCAGTCTTACTTACAAAATATATTCATATAACATTTGAAAATGGCTGTTTCTCAAGTTTTTTGTTAGTATTTATTGTTTTTTTAATTTTCAGTAAACTATTGTAATTTTGTGTCTTTTGGTAGTTTATGGACAGAATGATCTGTCCTCTATCACCAGAACCTGTAGCAAATGTCACATTTATGAAATCTTATATATCATTGCATTTTTTATATTATGTTAATTTTTGCCCTTAAGTATCATGAAACTTAATTTTTGTTTTTTGGCTAAAAAATTTGACTGCTTCTGTATGTAATTTGGTTGATATTTTTATAAGCTTGCTACCTTATTTTAAATAAGAGTATGGTATCGTGCTTCATATCCCTTGGTAGATAATTTGAATGAGAATCATGTTACAAATAAAGGAAAGATCACTGATTACTGATACTTCCTTTTGATTGAACTCTTTATTAATTGTTTGACTAAATTTCAATCTGACTTGTTGTTGGGCCTTTTCTGTGTTATTTTTCTTGGATCATTCAGATGTATGAGTTCTCCTGTAAGAGTCTTGATCTTTACACATTCCCTCTTTTTTATTATTACTTTTTTCTAAACAATTGCACCTTCTGACTGCACTTTCCATTCTCTATATGCATTTGGACTCTCAATTGCTGGGTGCACAGGGAAACTTTTTATACAAAAGAAGGGTAAGTTTCTTGTGCAACGTATGGGTTTCTTTTTTATTATGATTTCTTTACATGATTATTAAATAATAGAATTTCACCAGATACGCCTAATATATTCACCTGGTTGTGTGCTTTACCGTTTCTCTCCAGTGGCTGATAAGAGTTTGTGATTACTCTAATTGAGATATGAATTCCTGGAGAGAATTGTTTTTCCTCTGTTTACGTTGTGAACAAGATTACTACTGACAGCATGCCGATGTGCTTTGTTTTTGTTTTAAACACAAATGCTATGCACTGAGCTAAAGATTTTATTCTCCTAATGTTTTCTAAACAGAAACACAAAGATTTTAATTGGTATCTATGTTTCCACCAAAAGTTTTAATGCACAACCCACCCACTCTAACATTTGGAAATATACAATAATTTTAAAAATTATTTTAATTATGTTATTTTTGTTTTGTACATTATTATTATTTAAACAAAGAGTGCTTTAATATAAAATTTTAGTTGATTCTTTTTTAAAATGTCCACTGGAGTGTGTTAACCGGTATTACTTTTTGCGGCATACACTAGCATAAATGTAAGTTAAATTTGAAGTCACTATATCTTATTGATTCACTCTTTGAATAATTAAAGAAACTGATTCTTCCATGACCCGTGTAAACGTCATCTAGACTCATCCTGGGTGTTCCAGATCATATATATCTTTTCAAAATAGAGACACACAAGACATTTATTTATTTTATAGATTTAGTTCTTCTTCCTGCATATAGGTGTTGGTCTTTATATTAGCTGTTAGCTAGATCACAAGTGTTTTATTTGTGTTTGTGGAAATCCTAATTATTTTTATTTTCAAGTGTTGATATTGTTGTTGTGTATATATGGCTAACCCTTTCTTCGGATTTATATAGTAGATGCATGCTCTCATTGCATCCTTTGATAATTATGTTGTAATAGTTTATCCCAGAGATTACATTAATTTTATTGAATATGATCATTGTTGATTTCTAAATAACAGCTGATTAGGAAAATAATGTTAGTTTGGGCTAGAATTGTATTTGTTTCGTTACATTAATTTTAACTTGGGAATCCCTTGTTATACCATGCTTCTATGGCATTGTTTTTTCTTACCTTACAAAGCAGCATTTGCAAAACTGTTTTGTAATGTTTCAACTTGTACCCTTTGCGATCAGTGAAGGATGTTGAATGATATGAAATAAATTTGGAAAATTTTGATGCCATAAAATGCATAAGAACATTTTGAGAGGATAATTTTTTTAACATTATATATTTTAAATTTAAAAATAGCAATGGTATAGCAAGGCATTATGCAGGAATTGTACATTTTGGTCATATGTCATAAGACTTGGCTTTTGTTTAGCATTGATACTTGATGTGATTACTTATTTTTAGGATTTAATCTGCTAACTCCAAACACAGTTACAGAACCATTTATATTATTTTGTTAATATTGCTTATAGTGGTCACATTGGATTTATACATCACTTTGCTCTGTATAATGTTCATTTATTGAACAAATTTTGTAGCAGTATTCAAACAAAGTGGTTTTCACAGTTTTAGTGCCAGCAAAATCAAGAACAAAAAGTTATGGCTTAAGTTTTGACAAACGGTTCTGCACAGTACAGCATTTTATTATTAACTACATTAAAATTTAAATACAGAGAACATTAAGATAATAAATACTTAATTGTAGATTGTGTTTTAGATCCTATTTTAGGTTTTTATATGTTTATACTGGGGGGAAAAGGAATAAATAAGGACGGTTACATTCCCTCTTTTTATTTATGAAAATTGAGTATCAGAATTCGACCAGTAATACGTATAATGACTCTGGTGGTGTTGTGGTAACACATATTTAAGTTTGAAATTTGGTATATGTTAGATTTTCACAGATTTCTTATTTAGGAGTACCAGAACAAGTAAAAGGTCAAATGAGGTTTGCACAGATATAATACTATACTTTCAAACTTTGTTTGACATGAAGATGGCTGTCTTCTGTGATGTTACATCATGTTTTCTGGTAGATATTGACTGATATGTGAACTGAGAATCCAGAACAGTTACGTCATATATGAATGAAGACGGTAGTATTTGAAACTAGTTGAATGTATTAAGTTTAAAATCTGAGCCAACAAAGAACATATAAGTTTTCCTAAACAGAGAAGAATGTTTATTATTCTTGATTTGATATATTATTCCCACAGCAGATTGAAAAATGAAATTTAGGTTGTGGTAGTACCGTGTTACCAGAGTCATTAATTTTATGTTCTTCATACTGGCACTAAATCACGTTGAAATCAGTGGAAAGCAAATTAAAAGTTTAAATGTCTATGTTTGTATTTGTCTGTTATTTTTACATATGATGAATTCATTTTGGTTGACTAATGATAAATTAGTCATTAAAACAATGTTTATGGATATAATCAGAAGTCGGTATTGTAATCATATTAAATATTAGAATTGGTGAAAATGGAAGTAAGTAATGTGCAGACCTATTAATATACTTTGTGAAGTTTGTGTTGTGCCTCAGACTTATTTACACTAGGAAAATAAATATCCGTATCAAACTTCCACTACTCAACCATGTAGTTAGTGTGTCTGGATTGTTTGTATTCAAAATTTTAGTATTAAGTTTTGGATTATTTAAGTTCTTTGTCACTTGAAAATGCTTACAGTGAAATGCTGTGCATCGTCACAGATTAAACCTTTTCATAAATATTTTACTTGTCATCATTACTTTTACTGTAGTGTTATGATTATTATGGCACTCTTTTAACGTTGAAATTATGATTTACCATCATCATCATAATTAATTATCATACTATTTTAATTTTATGGAAACTTGTGAGTTAGTATACATTGCCTTGTCTTCATACGAAGTACAGTATTGCTATGAATATTTTGAAATGTTCTTGCCTTCTGGACCAGAGCTAGAGATATTAGGTTTGTCTTCTATAAAATGTTTAATTTTTTTGTCTTTATGCTTTACATTTGCACACAAAGCAGATGCATAGTATGGATTGATGCAATGGTATTTTCAAGAACTTAACTTTTTTGTGTGTGTGTTCATATGAAGGCTTTATTCGGTAAAGCTGTGATGGTGACAGAATGTGTCAAGAAAGACATGAATGGGTTAAATTAATTTCAAATCTACATTTCCTTACATAACCAATTAGAATGGATGAAAAGATCAGACACTTCTTTGCTTGTCTCATTTTTGATCCTTTTTTTTAAGTTATATATAATCTTAACATTTCTGTCTTCCATACATCAACTGTTTTTTTTATATATATTATGAATACCAGAAATAATTTTGCCTCCATCCTCTATATATATGCTACTGCTTCAAAGCATTGCTTCTTCAATAACTTTATGCTCTTGCAATAAATAGCAGATGTAGTAATTATGCTTTTGATTGGTACTATATCCAGTGCATACCTAGAGCTATGCTGTTTTCTTAAATTAGTTCCTGAATCTCGATAAGAAAAGAAACTGTGCTGCTTATGAAGAATGCATTGTATACATAATTTATTGCTGTGTTGAGTTTGTTCAATATTTTATCTGGATGCACTGTTTTTTTTTATCTCCATTACTTCGTATGTGTATCAACCAATCAACTGTGGATGTGGTCATTCATTCACTCACTCGCTCAATTGGACATGGGGTTATGCGGTAAGTTTCATTAATAGAACTGATGTCTGTGCATTTTGTAGTAGATTGTTGGTTGTTATCTAAATGTACTAATATACAGGGTAAGCCAGAAGTATGTCTACAGACTTCGTGTGCGTGTTTCAGGATCAAAAATAAGGAAAAATGTTACTATGAATATGGGGTCGCAAATATTTCATTTTCGAAATAATAGCCAAAAATAAGTTTCAGTGAATGACTTTATGTCAAAGTGAATCCAGCTTCCAGCAAAGATATTTAATTAAAATTTGTGCAGGAGATGGCAACATGCATATTGCTCCATACCAGCTTCCAATGCGTCTAAGAAGACCTTCATTACCGTGATTCTTAGGAAGATGTTTGCCACGTCTCCTTGAAGATGTACCACTGAATACAAGAAGACAAATGTGGTTTATGCACGACAGAGCCCCAGCACACTTCTCCCATCTAGTCAGATATCCCAATGAACAGTACCCTCAGCGATGGATTGGGCAAGGTG